CTCGGAAGACTTCAGCCTTGGTCTAACCTCACCCAGGAAGAACTTCAAGTGCACCACAGAACAACCCTCTCCTCTCTCTCCAACCTGCTGCCCTCCTCCTGGCCAGCACTACCTGCCTCCCAAGGAGGCTCCTGGGACTGAAGCCTGAGAGGAGGAGGAACAGGCAGCAGTGTGGGCCAGTGCTATGTTCCTCACCAACGGGCTACTGCTCCAGACAAGCCACCCTCACAAGAGGGCACCGGGACACAAGCCCTGCCCTGACCTCTGCAGGCTGTTCTGGGTGGGCTATCTGCTTCCTACCAGGGCCTTTGGCTGATAGCCACTCATCATTTTGTTCACATTACTGCTACCTGTCCATTCTCTAGAGAGACACTGACCACATCTCAATATACCCTCCTAGTGGTTCATCACACACTGTGCCCTCATCCCATGTAGTCTCATGTGGTCACATGCACTTCCAAGCAAGGGGAAGCATTCCCAGTATCTCCCACAGAGATGCTAAATTTTCTCAATTCAGTTTCCATTGTCTTGATTTTCTCTCAGCAATGACTATGGCATTGGTGAAAGTGGCTGAAGATCCACTGTTTACCATAAAAAAAAAAAAAACCCTTTTTCCTGGATTTGGCTATTTTCATATGTAATAAATTATCTACTCTATCCTAACTTCAACTTTTATTCCCCAACTTCTTTGGCCCTTCTCCCACCAATATTGTAATGGCTGGGTATGAATACACTACTCTGAGGAGAGGCTTTCTCCTTCTGGATATTAACAGGGATTGGTTAGGATAGACAGGATCACGGATTGGATTCAGTGAACCATGAGAGAGATGAAGCATTTTGTTCCTGGCTCCATCCCAGCCCACACTGGGTGTGGCATAGTAGCCTGGGTTCTCTGGAGATGTAGCTCTTCCCACAGTATCCATTCAGTAAGCCAGCAACCAAATTCGAGGTTAATCTTAGATACTACTCTTGACCTCAGCAACCTGAAGGGAATCTCTGGTTTATTTATCTATGATAAATGCTTCTTAGCCTGACAGGGATGAGATGCTCAAAAAATATTTTTGAAATGAACATATGAGTGGATGGCTAATTTAGTCTTGAAAAATGAGAAGTCCTAAAACTGGGTGAATAACAGTTCTACATGGATACATCATTTCCCAGTTGGTAGAGCTAGCTCCCTGGAAACTCAGGAAAGTTAGAACAACCGAGGAGACCGGAGGCTCAACTGACCCTGGAAGAAAACACTGACCCTGGAAAGCTGCCAGCTTTATGTGGCATCTTACAAGACACAAGAAAAGCAGAAATGAGGTTGCCTCTGAGATTCCCATGCTATGATAAATTCCTCATGAATCAGAGTACAGATGTCGGAGAGAAGCAAGCACACCTGTTGGGAGCCTATCTAACAGGATCAAGGTCAAAGGGGCGGAGACTAACTGTGACAATACTCTCAGGCATGCTTCCAGCAGGAGAGACAGCATCTCAGAAAGCCATATTGAAATGTTCATCTCAAGGGAGAAATGTGTTTCTGGTTCCTTAGCTAGACAAACTCCACTGTGAAGTGCTGTGTTAGGTAGCAGTAAGCATTGCACCAGTAAGCTTTCATGTCCTGCTTCTATTTTGCAATGCCTGGGATGGAACCAAGGTCTTCCACATGGTAACCAAGTGTTCTCCCAGTCAGCTGCATCCTCAGCTCTTGTCAATGGCTTTGATTATTTTTTTGCAAAACAGATTTTTAGATATAGTCTAATAACCCAATCAGTTCACAGTTGTGATTACATCACAATTAAAACACATTCTAGCCAGGTGTTGGTGGCGCACGCCTTTAATCCCAGCTCTTGGGAGGCAGAGGCAGGCGGATCTCTGAGAGTTCTAGGCCAGCCTGGTCTCCAGAGCAAGTACTAGGATAGGCTTCAAAGCTACACAGAGAAACCCTGTCTCAAAAAACCAAAAAAACCAAACCAAAACAAAACAAAACAAAACAAAACAAAAAAAAAACACTTTTAAAAATAACTATCGAGATACTGCAAGGTTCCTCACTGTGTTCTCTACATTTATGGTGCTTTCATTATGGTCAGGTTTGTCTGGAGAGGCTGGGAACATCAAGAACTTTAGTTTCAAATCCACAGAGAAGATCTAAGGAGATTGCTCAGTAGGTAAAACTGTGTTCTGTGTAAGCCTGATGACCTGAGTTCAATCCAGAACACATGTGAATGTGTAGATGTGGTGGCAAGTTCAGATGCTCAAGAGCTGGCTATCCTGTACAATTCACCATAGCACCAAAAATGAGAGGGATTCTGCTTCAATATGGTGGAAGATGAAATGCTACTGTAGAACAGTGTCCTCTGATCCCCACACACACACACACACACACACACACACACACACACACACACTTAGTTAATATGGGACTGTTAATAAAACAAACCTGCAATGGATAATCAGTGTTACAACTTAACTTTTCCTAGTTCAATGAAATTAAGATGAATGTCTAAAGAGGCCATACATGGTAGTTCATACCTGTAATGTCATCACTGGCTAAGGCCAGTCACTGACTGCTTTAATGGGATTGTGAAAAGCCATTCTCCAAAGAACAAAAAAGGGAAGAGAAAATCTCAAAAGATGCGCAAACACTGACCATCTCCACAAGTGGAAGCTTTCCTCTCTCAAACTTAACTCCACTGTATTGCATGGATGGTTTTTCCATGAAATTGTCAGTAAGTGTAGGCTTGGTGCAGACTTCAAAGCTCGAGGTACGATACTTTGAGCTCAGAGTCAAGTTTACTTTTACTTCTGTGAGGTTTAGCTTTCAGGAGATTGCCAACTGGGTCCTGGAACCCACTCAGCAAATAAGCGATATTCCTAAATTACATCAGAAAATCCCAATTAGGGAACAGAGACCCAAATCCAAAACAATATTTTAAGGAAATTAAACATCTAATCTGAGTCAAGTGGAGTCTTTAGGAAATACCCTGGTGTGAGTCCTAGCGTGTTTTGGCAGAGGCATGTTTTGGCAGACTCCAGGGTGGTAACTGCCCAGTGTTCAATGGCTCCTTCAGATTGAAATCAGATGTACGCAACTTCTCAATTTAAACTGATTAAACACACAGACTAAACCAGGTAATTACAAATGCATGTGTTGGGGAGTGGAAAGAGGAGACAGAATGGGGACTTCTTTATTTTTTAAAGTGTTTTCAAAGATGGGAACAATTTTACAAATAAAAAAAAAAAAAACATGGAATTGAGCCAAATACAGAAACAGATGTTTCAGATAGTGGAGCTGCTGAGAGCTGAGGCCTCTTGTCTTAGTCCTTCCTGGTTCTGACCCAAGAGTTAAGGGCTCTGGTTAGTTTTACCTCTAGCTCCACTCTATAGTTCTTTCATCTTACTCAAAGGTGCAACAAAAAGCAATTGAAGGATCTTGTAGGATTAAAAACTGAAAAAAAAAAACTTGCATAACTTTATTGTCCTTGACATTGCATTTCAATGAATGTGTAGGGAACTTTAGTGTATGCTTAAGTTTAAAAAAAAAGTCCAAAGTGCACACTTTTTTAAAAGCTCAACAGAAACCTTAAAAGGCCATTTGTATCATATTTCTCTTGAAAAAACCATACTAAATTTCCTGTTTATGAGTCCATACCTATGCAACTGATGCCTGGCCAACAGTACTGACCCTGAACTTTTCATCTGGAAATGGAGGAGGGCACATGTGGTGGTTTGGATGAGCAGTATTTCCCACAGTCTAGGGCCTCTGAACCCTGATCCCCAGTTGGTGGTGCTGTCTGCAGAGGTTCAGGAGGTGTGGTCTTGCTGCAGAAGTGTGACACCAGGGGTGGGTGTAGGGAGAAATCCTGTTTAGAGGTACTGCTGACCACGTCCTCTTGGGGCTAGTCACAGGTACCCTGACCACAGAGGGTTTAATTCATTGGAAGGTGTGCACACAGGCCCCTCTTTTCTCTCTTTCACCTGGCTGAGTGGACTAGGAGACATCTGGTGGGTCACTCCTACTCTGGTGTAAACCTGGTCACTCGTTCTGTTGTGTGAATACTTTCTTAATAAACTATCTTTATCAATCTAGTTCTAGACTCCACTTTGAAAACTGCTTTAGGTGGGCTTTGAGGGTGTCAATCCTTCCTCTACTTCCAGTTAACTTTCTCTGTGTCATGCCTGCAGTTGAGGATTCAAGCTCTCAGCTTGCTGGTCTTCTTGCCATGCTTCCCACCATGATGGACTCTTATCCCTCTGAAATCATAAGCTAAAATAATTGCCTTTCATCATGGTGTTTTATCACAACAGCTAGGCAAACTTGCCCTGGGATACAGGTGAAGAATCAAGGCTGGATTAAAAAGTTCCTCTTTGCAAAATACATTAAACACACTGTTACATACAGATAAATAGCAAAGGCAGATGAAGATTCTGGATGTCAGAGTTTCATAGCAAAGATTCTATACTTTTTTCTTATCAGAAATTCTTTGTCCCCTGGGGGCAGGGAAGCTCTCTCCTTTATCTTGTTATTTTGATATACTGAAAATGATCGACTGTCCTAGCAGCAAAATGCAACCCTGCTAGTTTTTACTGTTGAAAATTCTTTTTCTGAGAGACAAAATTTTTTTGCTGAATGACTGTCCTTTTTACGAGGTCTTACCTGCAACTGATGCTCAAGTCATTTAAGTAAAATTGTTCTAACTACAATCCACAAATATAAAGGGCTGGCTCCTCTACTAGTCCTATAAGTACAAAACTCTCCATAGCAACACACTTACTTGAGCTCACACTGAGACCATATGTTAGACTCCACATTGCATTTGACCTTTTAAAATCACGGTCATGGATATTTTGCAGTTCCGGATCCCAAGGCCTTAAAAGTTTCTTAACTTTTGCATTAAAATACTTTTTCCAAGTCACAAAGAGAAGAAACTGCATATCCAAGGTGTAAGACCTCCCCAGTTCCCAGCTGCTATTTATACTG